GGCTTCCGGATCTGATTATGAAGAGCAAAACATATCTCCCGATCCTGAATTGAGTCCTCCTACTATGAGTCCTCCTACCGAAGTTAATCTCGAATCCGGTGGCGACGAATCTGCACCAAGAGCTCCTAAAAGGCCAAGATCCGGTGTGTGGAATTTTTACGAGAAGATCGACGTCACCAAGGATGAACACGGTAGGATCCTCACCCAGAAGGCTAAGTGTGCTTTGTGCGGCAAGATTTTTCAAGCTCATCATAAGAGCGGCACCAACCACCTGAAACGTCATTTAGATAAACACAATAAAGGCTAGACTCCTCAAGGTGATATCTGACAATCTATGATTTCTCAATCCTCCTCTTCTGGTAGTCTCGGTAGTTGGAACTATGACGCTGCCAGAGCCAGGAAATGCGTAATCAGGTTTATCATTCTTAAAAATCTTCCTTTTAAATTAGTAGAAGATGATGAATTTGAAGATAGGTTTAGAGATGGTTTTTATCCCGGATTTACAAAATTTTCTCGTCAAACCTGTCAACGTGATATTTTAATATTATCAGGAGGAACAAGGAAAAATAATTTCTTATTTTAAAAATTTAAACTGTAAATTTTCTTTAACTTCTGATATTTGGACATCTAGAGCACAAACTGGATATTTATGTATCACAGCACACTGGATTGATGAAAATTGGCAAATGTTTAAAAGAGTTGTTTCTTTTATTGCAATAGAAGAGTCACATACTGGTGCTAATGTTGCAAATTTAATAATTGAAGAACTTATGAAATTAGAAATTTCAGAAAGAATATTTTCTCTTTCACTAGATAATGCAAGTAATAACAATGTAGCTGTTGATTTTATCAGATCAACTCTGTCATTGCCATGTCATGGTGATCTTTTTCATATTATGTGTATCTGTCATATTTTAAATTTAATTGTTCAAAGTGCATTTACTGAAATTAAACTCATGATAGAAAAGGTTAGAACAGTTGCTTATATGCATAATGCTTCTGAACAAAGACTTAAAAGATGGAAACATGTCATGGTGATCTTTTTCATATTAGGTGTATCTGTCATATTTTAAATTTAATTGTTCAAAGTGTATTTTCTAAAATTAAACCCATGATAGAAAAGGTTAGAACAGTTGCTTATATGCATAATACTTCTGAACAAAGACTTAAAAGATGGAAACAATTTTGTAAAAAAAAAATGTAAAGCCCAGACTAATTCCAAAAGATGTTGACCATAGGTGGAATTCCACCTATGCAATGTTAAGTATAGCCATAGAATATAAAGACATTATAACTAATTTTATAAACTATTATGCTTCTAGTTCTAGTTCTGGTAGCACTTATGGAATAACTGAAGATGAATGGACAATTATATGTAATTTAAATGAAATGTTATAAGTTTTTTATGATGTTACAATATTATTATCTGGCTGTTATTATCCAACCATTACTTTAGCTGCTTTACAAATTTTAAATATTCACATTTTTTTGGGGAAATATCGTATGGATGATACTTTTGGACCTATGATTTTTCAAATGGAGAGCAAATTTAATAAGTACTTTAGGCCTATTCCTCATATTTTTGGTTTGGGGGTTCTTATTGATCCATGCTTGAAGGATATTGGTCTTCAAAGTTTGTTACAATCCTTGTATGGTAATCAGATTATAGACTTAGATGATAGAACCACCCTTACTGCTACTACTCATCATTTAGCTATTAAAAATTATTTTCAAACCTTATATGAAGAGTATGCAGCTAGACATGATGTAGCTACACAACAGTCTACAGCTTCGGTTTCTTTGAGCTCATCCCGAGGTAAAAGTGTAAGTTTTGATAGGTATGCAATGGTAGCTGAGCTAACTGGTGGATCTGAATTTGGATCGTCATCATTGGAGGTTTCTGAAATAGATGAATATTTATCTACTTCTTTAGTTAAATGTCAATGAAATGCTTTAGATATTTTACAATGGTGGAAAGTATATGGATCAGTTTCATAGCCTATACTTTCCACCATGGTTCGTGACTTACTAACAATGCAGGTTTCGACGGTAGCTTCGAAATCCGCCTTCAGCACAGTAGGACGTTTGATCGACGACCATAGGACATGCTTAGATCCATATACTATACAAGCGGTGATGTGCTTACAAGATTGGTGGAGGTACGAGAAGTGAACGCAAGGCATCGATCGGATGGCTGGAATTGAAGATAAATTTGAAGAATTGGGACTAGCAGATAGATATAAAGAATAAATTATAATTTTTATATCTTAGTTTAAAATTTGTAAATAATTATTTTGGAAATAGTTACAAATGATAGTGATATAGGTGAGTAGGTGCCAACCTAGTTGGGATGTACTTATCTATTGTGATGCGATGAATTCCAAAATAAATTTGTACTTGTAATTTGTAAATGATTTATTAATTATTAATAAAGAATTTGTTTTTATCATTTTTTATTTGTAATTTATGTCATTTTAAGTGATTAATAAAATTATTGTTTTTTATTAATTTTTCTTATCTTTTTTTTATAATTTAAAATTTAAATAAAATTTTAAAAATTGATAAAAAAATTCCGGGCCAGCCCAAAACCCGGCCCGGTCGGGCCCGGGCCTGGGTCCGGGCTCCGGTTTTGCCCGGGCCGAGCCGGCCCGGATGGACAGGTCTAATTACGGATTCATGAGAACATATGTGGTTGCACTTATCATCTACCTCTTCTCCCTCTCCCTCTTTGTTTCATGTGAACAGAGATAGAAGACATGGTTGAAGGATACTTATAACAACCCATTTGTTCAAAAACAATAATAAAAAATGGCTTTTTTCAATATTACTCCTTAAAATATTTTATATTACTATAAGGTCACTAACTTCGTACTTATTTTGAAATTAGTCTCGCAAATTAGTGAAACTCCTATTATGACACCTAATTCTTAAATTATTTTAAAATTAATCCATCCAATAAAGAGTAGATGTACAATTTGAGTGATTAATTTGAAATAACTTATGAGAATCAGGGGATTTAATAGCAATTTTAACGATTTTAGCAGTTAATTTTAGAGTAAATAAAAAATTAGAATATCTAAAATTGATTTTTAATGATTTGAGGAGCTTATTGGAAAACATGAAAGATTTAAGGGACCAATATATAAAACCTATAATATGCAAATAAAATAATATGAGTTGAGCCCATTTATAATATAAAAAGATTAGAAAAAAAAGGAAAGATAGAGAATTCATGTCTCATTTAGGAAAGTGGTCTAAGATAATTGGAGTCTCTCTAATAACTACTTATTATTCATTGTAACGGATCCAAACTATAAGTAAATACTCAGGAAAATATGACACATTACTTAAAATATTACTTTTTTGCTTTGAAACAAAACCATCCACGTGCAATGCACGTATATTATATTAATATGTATGTGTGTGTATTCCCTCTAGAGCACACATATGCTAAATTTCCCCATAAAGTGATAGCTATGGTGTTGAAATTGATAAAAGAATAAAATATATATTAATATTTATATTATAACATATATTTATGTATATTTCATACAAACAATATTAAATCGTAACTTACTCATTATCATGTTATAAAATATTATTTTTGACTTCACCTTCATTCAAAAGGTTATCTAAATAATCCGGAGGTTTATTAAGTAGAGGTAGTTTAACTGTTCCCCCTCTACAACAAAAGGACAAGAGCTTTGCTACAGGGACTCAAAATATGAGACCAATAGGGGGACAAGTGAGGTGTCCCCCTCCTATTGGATAATGAGTTGGCCATCATTACCTCCTATTGGATAATGAGTTGGCCATCATTAATGATGGCCAACTCATTATCCAATAGGAGGGGGACACCTCACTTGTCCCCCCTATTGGTCCCATATTTTGGGTCCTTGAGGAATTTTTCAAAGGAGAATTCAGGATTTTACTATGTCTCCCCTTATCACTTCGTTTTTCGTACCACGTTATAGCCTAACAGTATGGACATTTAACATTAAGGCCCCCCATATTTTGTATTTGTTCACATCCTACACATAAAAAATAAAATAAATTATTATAGAACATGCATCATTGATATATATTACTAAGACTAATATTGAATTAAACATTTTTCATACGAACATGAGCATAAAGGCTATTGTATGTACATAAGTATGCATTATTTTTTAATATTCGGTAGTGAAATAAAATTTATGGAAAATTATTACCAATTCATAAAATATAAATTTACCTTCATTTGAATGGTTAATGGTCACATTACCTTCCTTGCCACTTATTGAATTACTATTGCCAATTCTATATTTTATTGAATTGGATCCTCGTGATTTATTACACTTATTTGCTCTAAAACGCCTCGTTTGTTTGCTACCCATAAATTTTCACAGTAAAAAGCGTAAACTATTTTCTAGATATTATTTTAAAATTTCAATATCAGTCTTAAAATTCAAAATGAAGAATAAATTTTGATTTCATGCCTTGATTTGAACGCATGTTTGTACATATGACACTTGGTGAAGCATTTGAATTTCCTTCTGGTATATTACAGTCTGTAGAACTTGATATGCGTATGGTTTTTCGATTCAAGCATTTAAGATTTTCAATTTCCTGGGAACTTGTAAAATATCCACAAATTTTAATATTACTCATGAACTTTATAGCCTTTTATAAATTTGTGTTTATATTGTTCATTAAAAATAAAAAATTATGCTCAAATATGTCGAATTCTTTAAAGATGAAGTTCATATGTGCATCTTTACCTTATCTTCATCATCAAGACTAATAATCCTTTAGTCTGAATTCTCAATGACTGATTTGCTATTTATTTTCTTTTACTATGAAAAACGTCGTTTAGATAGTTATGGAAGAATAAATTCCTCGTATCTTCGTCCTAAAGCATAATAAAAAATTGATAAAATAGTAAAAAAATACATCCATGAATTATTTATGTCTGAAATATATTTATAAATTCAGTATCGACTTTTGCATTTCTATGTCTAATGACATTTGCAATATCATCACCACATAATGTAGGTATATTTGCATTTAAGTCTGCAATTGCAGTCAAGTGGTAATTTCAAACCCTCAAGTTCTCCACAATATCAATTATTCCTTCATATGCCTCATTCCAAAAAAGGACGAAGCTATCTCCTCTAAAGATTTCCGGCCTATAAGCCTGATAAACAGCTCTTGCAAGATTTTTTCTAAAGTATTGGCAAATAGGCTCAGTAAAGTAATCCACCTCCTCATTGACAACTCTCAGTCTGCTTTTCAATCAGGCAAATCTTCCTTGGACTCCTTCCTGCTAGGCCATGAAATGATTAACTTTTGTTCCTCAGGGAAAAAGGATGTTTGTGCAATTAAAGTGGAGTTCAGAAGAGTCAACCTGCTCGATAGAGAGGGCTTTTGTTCTTCATATGTGAGAGTTCTTTTGAAGGACTCTAGCGAGAGGTTGCACTCTCTTTGGTTAGAGTACCTCTTTTAGAGGAAGACCCAAGTAGGAGTATAGGGGAGGAGCCAAATACAACCGAGAATTTCAGCCGCATTGAATTCCTTTCTGAGGGATTTTGCCAAGTTAAAAGAGGTTGGATTTCTGATGATTAGCACAGAGCCCGGAAATACTGCCAAAAATAGAGAGGATTCTTAAGAGTACATGTCAGATGGATTAGCCCTAGAAGAAGATGATTGTATCGCTCTGCCAAACTGTATGCGTTCTTATCGAGTTGAGATTACCTCTTAAGTTAAGGTTTGGAGAGGTCTCCAGAGGCTAGCACTGCATCTAATGCATCTGACTAAGACATCTGCCACTAACGAAATAAGAAGGGGGGAGAGAGGACCTCCTTGTTTAAGTCCCTTGAAGCATTTTGAAAAGGAGGTAGGGTCCCATTTACCAGGAACTGCTGATTTAGATGAAGAGATTGATGTTGTGGATCCAAGAACACCACTTTGGGTCCATAAACCTCTGCTTCTAAAAGAGATAGAAAAGGACAGTTAACACAATCAAAGGGCCTTCATAAAA